AATTAATTATAACTAAATATATACTTAACTACTGATTGGTTATATATGTATATAGATCGGATACGCGACTCTTTAGAAGCGTATCCTGTCGCATGAACTTAAATCTAGATTTAAGATCGCAACTGACGTCCTTCTGAGACGTCGCGATGCCTAGCTTCAACTAGCGTCATCCCTTCTCATGTGAATCCATCAATGGATATCACATTCACGAGGGTGGTTCACGTTTGTGTAACGCACCCAAGTGACAGGTCAAAAGTAATCATGGATACTTTTAGAGCTTACATTAAGTATATCACTTAATGTTTACGTGTAACTAGATGCCCTGTTACAGAAGCGGCATGATACCGACACGACTCCCAAGTCGATGGATTGCGCTCGCAAACCTTCAACTATATGCGAGCATATGCGCTTCGATAAGGGGTGATTCAAAGGGCGGAGGCATAGTTTGGGCAAATGATGCTCTCAGCGAGTCCGAAATGCAGTTTTCTGCGCCTTCTAAATAGTTGCGCCTGGCAAAACTTAATAGTGGCTACAATGTATATAATTAAGTATAGCTTACAACCGTGACGTAACGTTTGATGTATTTATCCAAAAAGGTAGAGTTATATCTAGTATAGTTAATGTTATTTATAATTTGAACCTTACTTACATAATATGTTGCTACGAATATGTATGTTTGCTATTTGCCTACCACTCATTGCGCGCGTCCATCGGTCATTGGCCAGCGCGTTGGCTGATATCATGTCCTATATAAATTCAACTTCAACATGATACAACAAAAATATTATGCTCGAGATAATACCGTCGTCTATTATCCGCTAGGATAATATTCACATTGGCATCTAATGTTATGCAATTGTTATGTAAAGACCCCAAGCTATCATCAGAAGAAACAAAAGCTGAGCAGAGCAACAAGACACATCAATATTTACAGCTCAAAAAACAAAAAGTCGCCTTGAACAAGCTTATTCGGATGTAAGTGAAAACTGTGAGCCCACGGCCATGGTCTCCCATCGAACCGCGACAAATAATACTTCTTGCAGCCAAAGTGTAGTAGTGGTGGATCCGCCAAACTCGAACAAACACTTTTTCGGCTCATTCGGGACGTTGTAAAACAGGGTCCAGATAAACTTATCCACCCACATTTCAGAGGACATCAATTTGACGGCAGCATTCGAATCAACATGGACCTGAGGGGAACCGCTGACGTCTACCTCTCTGAAATGCAAAAGGTTCTTATCAATGGACCGAAAGAGCAGCAAAAAACCTTCGCGAATTGGCCTCTTTGCAAGCAGAAAAACAGTTTTAACTGTTCGATTGCTCTCTGGTGGCGCAATGCATCGGTAAAAAAGAATCGTGCTCTCATCGACGCGTTGTAGCACATGAAACTGCGCATTCAGCGCTGTGCCGTAGATCTTTGGAAAATCCATCGGGTTCGAGAATATCGACCAGCTTCTTTGCAACAAGTCGCGAGGCGAGAGACCAAACTCTTTCTGTAACGCGAACTTCAGCGAGTGCTCGTGAATCTCACGCTGATCGGTCCACCCTAAAACTCGAGCACCTGTGCTTAGCTTTTTCGTGCAGCGTGCGAAGGAAAGCACCTCGTTCGTTCCCTCTTTGATCACTTCGTTATAAGCAGCTGTAGATAGCGGGGAGAAGAGGTACCGACGAGAAATGGAGACTTCGGGCACAGGCAATTTGGCTGCTTCATAGGCGTCAAGCAACTGCCCCATGCGACTCTCAACCTTCATATGACTCGCGTTGCGTCGGTACAATCGTTCATTTTCTTGTTGATACCATCGCTTGAGTTCGGTGGCTTGAAGATATTTCGGCATCGTTGGTGTCTCTTGCGTGCTAATCATCAAGCTGGCGTTGTCGTTATTCGGCTGCTGCCGATGCAGATAATTACCAGTTCCTGAATGCAACATGGATGCGTATTGTTTATCTAGAACATTTAATTCACGTCGAAGATTTTCAAGTGTCGTCTATAGAGACGAGAGTTTCATATTAGACATTGACACTTGATTAGAGAAAAAGAATGTTTTCAAATAAATAAGCACGAAATTATTACAATGAACGCACAAGTTTCTTCTTGTAAGATTTCTTGACGTACTCGCGATGCTTAAGACGCTTGTGCTCCGATAGATTGGCGGCGGCGACGATGGCGTGGCCATCAACTTGTGACGGTTGAGAGTTCATGGCGACTGCAGCACGGACAGAACTGAACTCCTTTTATAGAACTTGTTACTGTAATATTTACAATAAACTTGATGAAAACTCAATTATTGGATTTTCACAAAGGAGCGATATTTTTGCAATAATTTGGCCAACTTTAAAATTGGTACAATTGCAGGGTGTGTACAGCTGATAAGCCCTGGCCTAAGCGCAATAGTTACAGCTTGTAACGGCCCGCAGGCGACAGCGAAGAAATGAAAGAGTGGCGGACTTTACATGACTTGATGTCTTGACTTAGACATAAGCATTCTGATAAATAAAGACAAGGTTCTTAGAGCGTTTTCTGTCGTTCAAAATCTTGACCAGCAAAGCGAATAATGAGATAGAGTTGCTCCAAATTCATACATCTCCACTACTTATTACACGTTAGCGGCTCAATACTTCAGTAATCCACGGCGGAACATCTGCTCCTCCTCCAACACGTAAATACAACACCAAGCTTTAAGTATAGCGTACTCGTTGGCGGCCGGACCGAGTTCATGAATTTTCTCGAGCTCCTTCCGTCACTAGCCGACTCTCTCCTGGGTGCAGCGGCCACAGACATCACTGCAACACCAGCACCCAACTGCGATGGAGTTGTAGCAGCAATTGCAGGTAATACGGTAGCTGCAGGTGCGTGCGTCGCTCCCACCATCAGTTTCTGCAGTATTTTTATCGGGAAGTCTACCGACACACTTCGACAGAAACGAAATTTACACTTGATGACGAGGCGGTAGTTGGTTGTCAAGAAGTGCGACCGAATGACCGCAGACACCGGCCGAGCGGGATACGTCTTGGTAACTAAAGGCAAGTCTAGTACTTGCTCTTGCGTCTTTCCAGCCTTCACGCCTGGAAAGTCCTGACGACTGATGCACTTGGACCCTTTCAACTTTTGGTTTAACGTACCCAAGTCAACTGAAATGTCCTCGTACAGCATCATGGACAATTTGTTCATGTCCCCAGCCGTATCATTGTGAACCTCGGTCTGTGCTAGCAAAATATCTCCGGCAATGTGGACATTACTAGGTAACTGTGCCAAAACAGAGCACGTTCCTTTTTTCATCACACGCAACATATAAATGTCGCCTGTCACCGAATTCTTTAATGAACGAACAGGTTCGCCAACTGGCAGGTGTTGCACCACGAAAGACGTTTTAGCTTCCATGTCGGCCGAGAATTTTGCTTTCACCGTCATGACAGCTGTTGCCGTGTAACCCAGTGAGGCATTAATGCGACACATGACGCTAGCATCGCGACTCGAAATGTCGAAAGTGCTGGACAGTGTGGCGGGCAAGTGGAAGCAGATTGGGTACACGTACTCTCCAGGCTGGTACGATTGCTGTTTGGCACTTAAGACGATCTGGTAAAAAATTGATAAAACGATAACGTTAAAACGACACTTGACAGCGACGATCAGATAATTGGGACTGCACCTCTTTGTCCAAGTGCCAATGCTCTCTCAGATACAAGGCAGCAGCATGGCCACTACCTTCAGTCCATGTGAGCATCTCCTTGCCGCGGATACGTAGCACCAGTGCTGTTATAAAAGAGGTTGTTGGTCTTTAATGACGTGTGCTACTACTTCCAGTTAAGTATAGTTGCTACTTACAAGTAACGTCAAGCAGCTCTGTAACGCTGAGCACAACGCTCCCCAGCAGCATATCGCCTGGAAGGTAGTGCAAACGATCGAGGACTACATTGAGATTGCCTTTCACTCCGAGACCGAACGCTTTCGCCACTTTACCCATCCGAATTCTGGAATTATGAAGGCTAATGTCAAGTAAATTGTCGAATGAGAGCTTCAAAATGTGTACTAATTACGACGTTGACTCAATTTATCGCACAATGAGGATGGGAAATTTCCACGCTTATGCCCGAGCAGATCGCATCGGTTACTCACATAAATCAGCGCTATCCAGGATGATGACGGAGAACACTTTCATACTTTATATTAAGTGAGCAAAAATTTTTGCTTGGTGCCAGTAAAAGTGCGGTAGAAACTACCTGTTATTGCGATTGAGTGTATCGGAAATAAGTTGGGTTATACCTTAGCGGAACGAAGACGATCATATAAAGGCTATATTTCAACTAGATATTCTAGCAAGAGGTTCTTGCGATTAATTTTTTTAGCCATTTTACTTGAAGTAGCAAAAAATGTGTTCCGTGCAGCATGCACCTAGCGACCTAAATACAAAGACATTACATACACCTATTCCGCAAGGACTCGGCGGATATTCAGACGAGCTGGTCTTTACTGTGCTTTAGCTTGCGTTAGTAAACGACTTTGCGCTTCCACTTGTTAATAGTCAACCACGCTACTGTCCACGAGCACAAACGGCTGGTCCGCTGTCTTGCACGCACGTTTGTAGGCCTCGCTGAATCTTAAAAATAGAATTTAGGACTCCATACCCAAGGTACCGAAACGTTTGAATGTGGAGACTCTCCAATGGTGTGGAAGTCCGCCATATGTATTGGTACGCGTCAAAAATTAGGCAGTCTTCGTCTCTAACACCTTGCCCTACTTAATCAACACGAACGAATTCGTTTAAGTTGTCCTGGAGTGGTTTTGTTTGGTATGTGCTAGGGCTAGCTCCTGTTCATTCACTTCGTTGACGTCGCCAAGTGTCTTTGTTGCAACGCCGACATCTAATGTCGAAATGTTAATAGAGCATGATGATCCAT